GTGGTCAGTTGGACCTATACTTTGAATGTCTGTGGGAGCAGTTAGAGGAGAGCCCTTAAAAATCTGCTACTTTTTCTCTTCCTACTAAAAATATTCCTGATTTTTAAGCTTCTAAGTGTTCTTGTTTTTTAAATTAAAAAAAAAATGCATATTGTAGTATTTCTCTTCTCAGATTTCAGAGGTGGGAAACTATCACTTAGCCTATTTTTAAAAGCAAGTTGAATTTTGAATTAAGGCACCTTAAGTTTTTATTTTATACAACTTATTTAGAAAAATTTCTGCCACAGAGAGTATTTTGAAAAATGATGATAAACACATTTTAAAGATCACTATGTGATAATGATTATATGTAACTCATGAAATGTATTTCTAACCAGTCTTTTGGGGGGCTGAATGTGTATAGGTAAGCAAAGCAGTGCAAACAAGTAGAGCAGAAAACAGCTAAAAATATCATTAGCCATCTTGTAAATAGATTCTTTTTGTACCATTAATGTGTTCTATAAAATATTTCAAGGAGTAAAGCATGATAGAGTTCCCGATACTAATTTTTTTCTTCTTGGGAACATCCCATCTAACAGGAAATTTCTTGTATATAGCATGTGCTGAATATAATTCTTTGACTGCTTGGGTTTCTGCTGTTTTTAAAGTAGCATTTAAATGGACCATTTGATTAATCATTTGTATACTGACTGTAATCCTCCCAAATTTCCTTTCTGAGTTGTACATACTGTAAAAGACAATTATGTCGCCACAGATTAAATAAGCGAATTAAAACAGAATAGCTGCTTAATTTGACCTGTGATTTTGCTCTCCTTCCCTTTAGTGGAGCGTGTGCCACTCCAGCAAATAAATGAAGTCATCCATGACAGCTTGTGATGAATTGCCGTATTTATACTGTATATTTTAATAGCCTCACACTAATTTAAATTGAGCACAGAGTAAATTATAATTCAGTCACTTGACTGCTTATATTTAACTTGACAACTCATCCTTATTTGTCCTGGAGGTGTAGTGGAGGGCAGTAGAAATGCACTCAGGTATTTTAGTCGCTTACTTAACCCTTTATCTATGAAATGCTTCATGTTCAGATTCTCTCCGGTTTGAAAAATTTAACTCTTTTTAAGGAGAAAATAATAATAAAAATAATTATGAAAACTCAGGAAGTCCACACTTTTCTTATACCTCAAAAAGAAAATTAGTATTTGTCATACTTTTTTCCAGTGCCTTCAGTAAGGAACTAGACTTCTTTGTTTTTAACAGTTTTAAAGCTCACTCACAGGAATGCCCAGGGGAAAGAGAATTAACCTTCCACCTAGAGTGCAAAGTCTCCCAGAAAATAGAAGAACATTTCAGTAGAGTTACTTTAAGGTAGATTTTACTTTCTGTCTCAAGTTCCCAGAAATTGACTTTATTCACTTTTCTCCATTATGAACTCTCCACTGTCCTGGGCTACAGCAAATACCAAGGATAATCAAACCCTATTAGAGTACAGTGAATTGGCTCCACAAATACAGTATTATTTGCTACATGTAAGTCAGCGTGGCACTTTTATTTATTTTGGTGTTTGTCTTGGTTTTAAATTCAGTTGTAGAAATCAAGCCAGCCTTTTCCTTTCTGTCATGAGTGGCTTCTTAATTGGAGGACTGTTGTTGTAAGGAGCACTTCCGTTAAATCTCACATTACTTAATGCACACTACTTTGAGTAAGGCCCTGAGCTGAGGGCTGAGTGTGGGGGGAGGGGCAAGAGAAAGATGCACAGGACTCAGTTCTCACCCTAACAATCTGGGTCACAACCTGTTATGTACTCTCTAGGTTTCTGTTTTTAGGAGATGAGGCATGACTTCTAAAGGTAGAATGTGACAAGGAGAAAGATTAAGGGGTAGAGCTAGAGGTAAATCCTGATGGAGGGCTTTGGGCTGGCTTTGTGGAAGTAGTAGTTTCTAAGAAATACAAAGGTATATTTCTTAATCTCCAGGTGCTCTGATTCCATTATCCTGGTGTAAGGTATGTGCATTAGGATCTGTTTAAAGTGCCCTTATAAAAACTGGACAGCCAACTGCAAAAGACTGAAACTAGACCACTATCTCTCACCATACACACCAAAAAATTAACTTAAAATATATCAAAGACTTGGATTAAGGCCTGAAATCATAAAATACATAGAAGAAAACATAGGCAGAATACTCCAGAACACTGACTTTAGGACTGTCTTTGGGGATTCAACTCCAATGGCAAGGGAAATAAAACAAAAAAAAAAAAAAAAAAAAAAAGAGACTATATCAAACTAAAAAGTTTCTGTGCAGTGAAAGAAATGATCATTGGGCCTCCCTGATGGTGCAGGCAGTTAGTATTTCTTGGAAACTCTCTAAGTGAGTTCTAACCCACAGTAAGGTTGAGTGCCACATATTTAAGGTTTCAAAAATGCCATTTATTCAGCATTTGGTCTAACTACTAAGATATGCAGCTCCAGGCCCCCAATCTAGGCTGTCAGCAGCCTCTGCAGCACTGGTTCCATCCCGGCTGGCGAGGGTCCCACATGGCGCAGAAGACCTCTCCTGTCTCCTCTGCTGCTCCCCTCAGCAGTGTATTTCTCCAGTCTGCCTGTTCTGTTCCCCGCTCTGTCTCTGGTGAATCCTCTTACCCTCCCATGCATCTAGCCTGTACCCCAGTTCTTGTATAAATAAATAAATAAATCTTAAAAAAAAAAAGAAACTATCATTAAAATGAAGTGATGCCCTACTGAATGTAAGAAGATATTTACACATACCAGACAAGGGACCAAAAGCCAAGATCTACAAAGAATTCATACAACTCAATAACAAAATACATAACCCAATTTAAAAATGGACAGAAGAGCTAAATAGACACTTTCCAAAGTAGACATATAGATGGCCACCAGGCACATGAAAAAATGCTCATCATTACCTGTCATCAGGGAAATGCAAATCAAAACCACAGTGAGATACCACTGCACACCCCTGAGAATAGAACATATCAAAAAGACAAGAAACAACAAATGTTATTGAGGATGTGGAGAAAACAGAACCCTCTTACACTGTTGGTGGGAATGTAGACTGGTCCACCTCTTATGGACAACAGAATGAAGGCTTCTCAAAATATTAAAAATAGATCTACTATAGGAGCCAGCAATTCCACTCCTAGATTTCAACCAGAAAAATGCAAAAATATTAATTTGAAGGGATATATACACTCCTATGTTCATTGTAATACTATTTATAATGACCAAGTTATAGAAACAACCAAGATGCCCAATAGCAAAGTAATAGATTAAGAAGATAGGGCCTCCCCGGTGGCACAGCGGTTGAATGCTGGGCTGCGAGGCTGCCCACAGCCTCTGCAGCGCCGGTTCGATCCCCGGCCGCCGGTGAGGGTACCACATGGCACCCAGACCTCTCCTGCCGTGCCCAATGCTCCCCTCAGCAGTGTATAAAAAAAAAAAAGATTAAGATATATATATATATAAATACATTTATATAATGATCATTCAAATGTGAGGCCAGTGTTGTGGATCACTGCTTTAGGGTAAACAATAACTTCATTGCTTTTAGCAGAGAGTTTTTTAGGATCAAAGATTCTCTTCTTGACATAGTCATGTGGATAGTTCTAATATTTCATGGTATAGAATTGTAGCAATTTGATGAATTAATTTTGTTGCTAAGTTTTATACAGGAACAAAATACAGATGAATATTTGTGACAAATTACAAATTGGAAGAAATCTTTAAATTTTCTTGGCAGCTTTATCAATATATTACACTTAAAATCTAGTAAGGACTTTCATAAATAACGCCAAAGAAACTCACTGTGCCTTCCCCCACCTGTACTTTATCTTCCTCCAAATGAATGTCAATGCTGTAAAATATGTGTTTTAGGATTACCTTTTTCTTTTCTTACTCTGTCCACAGTTTCCATATCACAATTTGGTTTTTTTTTTTCCCTGCTGTGTATCACTATCTATATTCTGTAGTTGTAATACAAAATGTTGTTTTCTGTTGGTTGGTATATTCTACATTATCATGATAACCCTCAGTGTTAAGTGTTTTACAAGAAATGACTAAAATCCAAAACTGCTATAAATCCTCGAAATTGTTCCCCAGCTATTTTATTCTCATCACTGTCTTTTTAAAGTAAAAAAACAATTTTCTTTGAATTGGCTTCACTGAAGTGCTAAGTAAAATTTGAATGATTGGTGTTCCTTTTTCCAAAATAGGTGTTTGACATACACTAGACTATATTGTAGATAAATGTATAAATAAACTATTATACATTTACATGTTACAAATCTGACCCAGTAGTTGATGTTTTAAGGAAAACCACAAAGCGTGAGGACATAGGGGCGGGGCCCTGACACTGCTAGTCCTCCCAGTTTCTCCGAAATGTCCTTGGTTTCCTCCTCTAAAAGAAGGGGATTAAATGAAATAATTCCTGAGGGTCCTTCAGACTCTCCATTTTATAGCAGTGTTAGCAAAGAAACATTACCCAACTAGAAAAATGTTTTTTAAATGATATATTTAAACTCCTTTTTTCTCTCATAATTAAAAACGGTATCTTAAATGTCATTTTTGCTTATCATTCTCTCCGCTTATCACCTCGTGTCTAAATTATAAAACAATTCTTTTTTAGTGGTTTCGGGGTCACTCCTATCTTCCTCTTCAGGAAAAAAAGCAGTGTGACCAAAATAGGGCATATAAATTAAGGGTGTTATAACTTAACTGACTTTTAAAGCCATTAATACTGACCTTTGAGACCTGGCTTTTTCCTTGGTTCCATCAATCACTTCTATACCACCTCCCCCAATACAAAGGGTTAGACAGATGGGGATACAGTTTGTATTACTGGGAATAATAGTGGCAAGGAGGAGAATGGGGAAATGAATAGAGGAACTACTGAATTTTTAAATTTTTGTATTTCGTAGTTAATATAGCTATACTTAATTTAAAGGTAAGAAATGTGCAAATTCTGATTCTTTTCTGTATTTAGGTCATACTGTTAGATATTACACTGGAACTTCAGAAGCAAATTATGTCTGAATTGGAAATTCTTTATAAGGTAATTTTCTTGGTCATTTTTCCTTATAAAGCATGCCTATGTTATTGGCTTGCAAATTTTTAATTACTTTTCTCTTATTTTTGTTACAGTGTGATTCGTCATATATCATAGGGTTTTATGGTGCATTTTTTGTAGAAAACAGGATTTCAATATGTACAGAATTCATGGATGGTGAGTTTTCCCTTTTACAATACTTTAAAAATGATTTGAGGGGTACAGTGCTTTAAAATCTGGTTTTAGTATAGATGTAGAGTAGAATTAAAAATAATTAAAATATGCTAATAATTACCTCCTTTATATGCTAAAACATTTTAGTGTTAGGGGTTTCTGGTGTTAAATATTTATAGCTGAGCTATGATTTCAAGAATGTAATTTCATTTACTTTTATTGAAAATTTAAATAGAGCAGATTAAATGTTAGTCTAATTGGTGGTTTGATATTTGATTCTTCCATACAATCTGTCTTTACTTGCAAACCAGATGTTCTATTCTTTTAATGTTTCAATAGCCAAAGCAGATTTTCTTTTAAAGAAATCTATTAACCCAATGTCCTGTGTCTTTTAGAAAGAAATCAGTTCTTAATTGCAAGATAAGAAATTGTTTTTCAACACATCTGTTTAACCAAGATATGTTTAGTTTTCATTGGACCCTAGCCCTTTTCTTTTCTTCTTTATTTTTGATTCATTTTCATTTTGGTAATTCTTTCTCTTTTTTTTAAAAAGATTTATTTATTTATACATACAAGAATTGGGTACAGGCCAGAGGTGTGGGGGGTGAGAGGATTCACCAGCGACAGAGTGGGGAACAGAACAGGCAGATCGACTGAAATACACTGCTGAGGGGAGCAGTGGGAGAGTCAGGAGAGGTCTGCTGTGCCTGTGGGTAGCTCCCTGGCCAGGGATTGAACTCGTGCTGCAGTGACTGTGGCGAGCTTCATAGGTTGTGTCTTAACCCCTTGCACCACCAGAGAAGCCTGGTAATTCTTTCTTGATCTGATTATAATGGCAAAATACAGACTTCTCAGTGCCCTTCCATGATGTGATGACATCATTGTTATTGTTTAGCCATTTTAATTCAAAGCAGTCTTTAAATTTTGTATATTTAGTTTTCAATGCCTAGCCTAATAAAATGCAACATTTTTTATATACGTAGCTCATTTTGGGGATTCTTAATACTTTACTAAAGCAGTTAGCTCATGCCCTCTAAAGATTTTTAATGAACCAACATTATACCTTGATACCATAGGCATATTAGTCATAGTAGATGTCAAGAATTAAGTCTTACAACCATATGGGTAGTATGACATTTACTATTCAAAGAGATTCTTTTCAAGTTTTCAGCATGTTGTAGCATGTATCAGTACTTCCTTTTTATGATTGCATAATAATCCTTTGTAGGATACACCACATTTGTTTGATTTATTTGTTACTTGATGGGCATTTTTGGTGTTTTGACTTTTTGGCTATTATGAATAATGCTGCTGTGTATATTTGTGTACAGGTTTTTGTGTGGACATGTTTTGAGTTCTCTTGAATATGTATCTAGGAGTGAAATTTCTAGGTCAGATGGTAAATCATTTTTAACTTTTTGAGTAGCTGCCAAACTATTGCATTACATTTTACATAGTTTGCATTCTCAGCTGCAATGTATAAGGATTCCAATTTCTCTGCATCTTTGCCAGTGCTTGCCATTGTGGGTATTTTTTTAATTATTATAGCATAAGAGGTGTGAATTGTATCTCATGTTTGTTTTGATTTAGATGTCCTAATGACTAATGATATGGACCATCATTTTATGTGCATGTGGGCCATTTGTATATCTTCAGAAATATGTATTCAAATGCCTTGTCTAATTTTTTAAATAGGTCACTTGCATAATTTTTCAATTAAGTTTTATAATTTTCGGCATTCAAGTTTTGTAATTCTTAAAAATATTTTCATTTTTAATGCTATTGCCAATTGAACTCTTCATTTTTGGATTGTTCATTGGGAGTGTATAAAAATGTAAATAATTTTTGTATCTTAGTCTTATATCATGCTACCTGGCTTAACTCATTTTTTAACTCTACTAGATTTTTGTAGGTTCCTTAGGGTTTTCTGGATAGAAGATTGTGTCATCTGCAAATAGGAGTAGATTCACTTCTTTTCCAGCTCCTATATCTTCTTTTTCTTGATAAAATACCTTGGCTAGAATCTTTGGTACCATGTTGAATAGAAGTGGTAAGAGCAGTCTTTCTTCTCTTGTTCCTGATCTTAGAAGGAAAGCAGTCAGTCTTTCACCATTGTCACCTTTTACTTACATTTTAATACTTTAAATCTCTATGTTAAAATGTTTATTCTTTAGCCTATATTTCGCTCTCTTAATCGAGACTCCTCATTTTCTAGACATAAGCTGCCTAAAGCCCTTTCTCCTATTGCTGCCTGGCAGGTTCTCTTTATGCTAATTTGTTCCTAAACACTAAAATTTCCCACTACTGACGTTTCATTCTTCCATTCGCATCTTCTCTGTTATTTCCATCAATTATTCTAAAATTTATTACTCTCCCCAGATCTTATCTACATCTTTCTCCTTCAGAAATGTTATAGACTCAGGTATGAGGTCTCCTAATTCCTTGCTCCTTCACCTCTCACATGAAAGGTTGTTTAAGGTCAATCCCTCCACTTGTGGAGTTTTCAAACACTACTCTTTTGCACTTTCATTTTCTCTCTAATACAGCAAAATGTACCAAAAATTTATATGGATTAAAAACTATCTAACACCTTATATCTTTTCTTCTATCCCTTCCATCACAGTTAAACTTCTTGACAGCTTTCTCCCACTACTAATGTACATTCCCATTTTTCTATTTTGATCATGTGTTAGGCATTGATTTCCCAGTATTTACTGAGCACTATTTTCAGACACTGTTCTAAACCTGAGGATACAGCAGTGAACAAGACTTAATTCCTGTCATCAGGTTCTAGAAGGACAGAAAAGAATCACACAATACACTTTCAGAAGGGATAAATCTAGTTAGACCTAGAGCAGGGAGATAATAACTCATAGGAGGAGAAGTGCTAGATAGGCTAGTCAGTAATGACTTTTTAGTGGAAATGGTATCTCAGAAGAGACTTTTATGCCAGTGAACCAGCTCAGGGAAGATAATAGGGAAAATCTTTGCAGGAGGGATGGTACCATGTATGAATGCTTGAAGATACGATCAAGTTTGGTATAATCAAGAAGGTGTAATCATAGGAGGTCAGGATGACTGGAGAGTGATGAGAGGACCTGGGCTGGATGGGGGGCCAGGGAAGTAGGCAGAAGTTAGGTTGTATAGGCCTTGGAGGGCATGGTAAATTTCAGTCTGAATTTATTTGGAAGCCATTATAATGTTTTTAAATAGGGGAGTGATGTGATATGCCTTCTCATTAAGTCAAAACTAATTCCACTCAGAAATACCCAAATAGAACATCTCAGAATATATGCATAATACTGAGGTTACCCTCATGGGAATAAATAGAGGCTAAGAGAACTTCTGAAATACTTGTTTATCACTCCAGATTTCAATTTTATTAGTATTAATAATAATCCTGGTCATTTTAAGGAAAGCATTGGGATATGACAGTACTGTTGCTTCTTGTTTATTTATTCTATTTTGCGTTTATCATACAGGCAAAACACTATTTTATATTTTAGATTCTATATTAGGATAACACAGTTGTCCACAGTTAGTTATATGTGGATGATATTTCTAATTCATCAACAAAACCTTGTAGTTGTTTGGCAGTTGAGATGGGTTTTTGCTAAATATTAACAACTCTTCTTTCCAGTTCCCATGGTGGATAGTACCATGAAGTGACTGGCTAGGGATGACATGTGGCCATGGAACACAAGGAAGTGACAGGGCACAGAAAATAAACCTTGCAATTATGAGCCAGAAATTCAAAACAGCCATGCTTCCGATAAATGAGTTTTTAAATGTCTTAAATACCAGTGTCTCAGCTAAGGTTAAGCTGAGTATATATCCTAGTGATATTACATTGCAGTGAGACATTTTATACTGTAAAGTGCTCACATATGATTGTCAAGCTATGTGATGTTATGAGGAAGCCTTTCAGATCTTTGCAGTTCTGGCAAGTCAAAGACTCAGATCTTTTCTGAGCTCTGCCATCATCTGTCCTTGGCTAGAACACTTACCTCTGTGGGTCTCATTTTCTTCATTTGTCAGATAAAGTCATTGGGCTGTTCTTTAATGTCCCAGCACTAATATTTGATGAGTCTACGAATGACCTTTTGGAGACAGACCTATATCATAGAAGTGATAGTAATAACTGAATAAAAATTAAACTGAAGGGCCTCCCCTGGTGGCGCAGCGGTTGAGCGCTGGGCTGCGAAGCTGGCCGCAGCCTCTGCAGCGCCGGTTTGATCCCCCGTCGCCTGGTGAGGGTCCCACATGGCACCCAGACCTCTCCTGCCATGCCCGCTGCTCCCCTCAGCAGTGTATTTCATCGGTCTGCCTGTTCTGTTCCCTGCTCTGGCTCTGGTGAATCCTCTCACCCTCCCGTGCTTCTGACTGTATCCAGTGCTAGTATAAACAAATAAATAAATCTTTAAAAAAAAAAAATTAAACCGAAAACCCGCTGCCATTTTTGGCCTGATAAGAATTACTTAATTGTACAAAGAGAAATCATCAAAAATGATCATGCTTAATAGGAATTCTTGACAAGTGAATCTGCCATATCATATTTTCCCCTTAACAGTTACACCCAATGAATATGTCAAGAGCAGGACAAATCTGTAATGACACAAAGCCAACTATGTAAAGATATTCCACCCGTATGGATCACTGAAGAGGATGGGATGATATAACAGGATTAAATGGAGATTAAAAAAACAGTGAACCACCTCAAAATGGGGTTCACTTTTGTTCAATAATGGTGGTATCATTATCTTTGGGTTTTTTTTTTTTTTCAGTTTAACTTTTTAAAACCATTATTTAGCTAATGAAGCCCTGATTTATAGCCTATGTAAAAATAAATCTCTTCTTAGGACTTCTTAACATTGTATGTATGGACTTCTTACGTGGTATGTATAAATGGGTTTGTGTGTCTTAGTTTTGAGCCACTTAAGCAAGTCACCTCTTAAAGAATTGACCCAATAAAACGGCATTTGTCAGTATTCTACGTACCAACACATAAAGGTCGATCTTCTTGAAACTGTTCATCCTTGCAACTGCCAATTCATCTGAAAAATCAATGAGAACATAAAATTTTTTTCTAACATTTTTTACTTTTATTGCATCTGTAATAAAAATGCATTTTAGTAAGGAAGGCTTAGCTCATTGCAGAAGTGTCTGTTTTTCATTATCTTCCTACTAACACCCAGAGCCAAAGTATAAGGAATAGTCAGAGTATGATTTTCTAGCTTCTGTCAAAATCCAGAAACTATAAACAAAAGTCACCTGAAGAAGTGATCATTTTCCTGCTTTAAACAGGGTAGCTACAAAGCCAGTAGCTGTATATATATATGGGAAAAGTGTGTGTGTGTGTGTATGGAAAAACAACTTTTTTGAACAGTTTTAGGTTTATAAAAAATTGAGTAGATACAACAGAGTAGAAAAATATTTTTTACCTAATGTTCAGCTCTGGGAAATCTTGACATATAAAAATATTCATATTTACAAAATAGATAGCTATATATCAAAGGAATAACATGCCCCATGTTAATATCTAATGAGACATAAATCATTTGACAGTAAAGTGGGCAATATGAATTTTTAGCCTCTTATAGAAACAAGAATAATTTCTCAAATATTCTGGATAATTCCTCTATAGAACTAAATGACTTCTATCAACTTGACTCAAAGAACAGTTATTACATTTTGTTATAATAGTTTTCATATGGGATCTCCCTGGTGGTGCAAAGGGTTAAGGACAGCACTATGAAGCTCTCCGCTGCCTCTGCAGCATGAGTTAGATCCCTAGCCAGTTCAATCCCTATCTGGCCAGGGAGCTACCCACATGGCCCAGCACACTTCTCCTGTCTCACCCACTGCTCCCCTCAGCAGTGTATTTCAGTCAATCTGCCTGTTCTGTTCCCTGCTCTCTCTCTGGTGAATCTTCTCACCCCCCACACCTCTGGCATGTACCCCAGTTCTTGTTTGCATGAATTAGTAAATCTTTAAAAAAGTAGTTCTCATATGATCATACATTAGTAACAGTCAAGTGGTAATTCTTTGCATACTTCCTGAGATTCTTATACCACATGTAAAGTTAGAAATTTAACAAGCCTGTCCCCATAAATTGTGGTCCTCTCAAGATAATCACCTAGGAAAGTTAGCCAGTTATTCGGTGATGTTATTGTTGCTGCAAATGGTTTATAATTCCTTCTTTTGAAACTGCTCTCATAGAAGCCATACATATTTGGTAAAACTCATGATAATTTTCATTTATTTACTTCATCATCTCACAGATATTTACTGAGCATCTACTATCTGCTAGTTATCCTAATTTCTAAATTGATGAAACTTAAACATAAACAACATGGCCCCTGCCTTTACTATCTTCCCAGTTTAGTGGTTTTAGTTTTGGGAAACTGCCAAAAACTGAGTTTGGTATTGGTGAAAGATGTGAGTACATACCATTCTAATGAAAAAAATGTTATGACATAAGGAGATTGATTTTTTCCTACCCTATAAAGTGATTTTTTAAAATTAGATCAAAGAGGATGTCTAAAAAGAAAAAAAATAACATTTTGAATTAAGATAATATCTTTGGAAAAGATTAATTGCTCTTTTTGGTACTTGCTTTGTAGGGTAATATTCATTTAGATAGAAGTTAACATTACTGTTTTAGTTCTTTAGTTTTTATGTATATTTTGGACATTATATTCATGGACTTTTATTCAGTTAATACAAAAATTCTTAGAGTCCTGGTTTACATTTGAGAAAACTATTATATAAGATAAACACCTGAATATGATTGTCATATTGATCTTTATAGTTTTGTATATGTATTTAAGTTTATATTAAGTGCAGATTCTCAGCTTGCCTTGACTTGTTTTTCTTCAGTTTTTGCATGTATCTGATTATATACTTGGGAGTAAAATACCTAGTTATATTTCATTTGAAAGTACAAATAGATCATAAATAAAATTGGACTAAAATCTAATTTTACCCTAGACAGCCAGTTCATGATGCATAAGAAGAAAGAAAAAAATTCATAATGAATACATAGAAAAGGCATCCAGGGCACTGTTCTAGTAGTTTCATTTGTAGTAATACAACATGTTTGTCTTTATAGGGGGCTCTTTGGATGTATACAGAAAAATTCCAGAGCATGTCCTTGGAAGAATTGCAGTAGCAGTGAGTATATCGTTTTTGATCCTATGAAATTTGGATGATTAAATCTTTTTAGTCAAGTATTCTCGAATTTTTTTTTCATTTTTCAATCCCTAGTAACTTCTTTGTCTTTTTAACTTTCTTTTTCTTATTTTTGTCCTTTCTTTCTTTCATAGACCAGCTGTTAGCAATGATATAGGCACATGACATCCTCAGATTTAAGTGTCCTCTGACTTGTTTTAGTTTCTTGTGTTTGCAGAGGCCTTAGTGCTCTTATGACCAGTAAAATTTCCAAGTTTTTTATAAAGGAAAACTGTTTTTGAACATTTTGTAGTTATTGACATGATTAGAAAATACTTTTCAAGTCTAAATTATTAAATTAAAACTGTAAGAAAATTCTACTTTATTCTGAGGTTTTTGAAGACTTTATGTTCTTGGTTTGAAATTTTTTACCATCTACATCTAGGAATTTATTCCCTTTGTGGTTAAAAGCCATTTTCCCATTTTCTATATTCAGAAATAAACTGATGAACTATACCAACTAAACTAACATTAGTTCCAGATTTCAAATTTGGAATAATAAAGGCTAAATAGTGACTAAGAGAAGTCATGGGGTGGTGTAATAGTAAACAATTGCTAAACTAAAGGCACTCTGATAAATTATGTGGTTTAATGTAGAACAAAGTGATTATACCATGTACCATTTAATTAAATGGCTGGTTTTCACATTCATTATACATCAAACTGACAACACAAATCCTTTAATCCAACATGGACACTTATTTAGTCTTAGTTCATTGTAATTCACAGCTTTCCTTTTTTCTTTCTAATTATTAGTGTGAACTGCCCAGGGTGATGAGAACTTTCTTTCTGATGCTATTGCTGTTAAGTAGCTTCTAATCTACATGTTTAGGTAGATTAGCTTAGTATGAAATTTGAGTACTTAAATCACTATTTTAGCTGAAAATAAAAATGTTTCATTTCCTCTTTTAATCTCAGGAGGAAATGAATGCTTTGTGGCTTTTGGCAGTTCTTGGCTCTAAAATTTAATAACACGTATAATAAAGGGCAAAAAAGGAAAAGGATACCAATTTCAAAAAGAAAAAAGTATACAAGTTATATAAACTCATTATCTGTTGAACTTGGTTAAATTGGAAGCTGCTTTCTTCAGTCAAGAAGCATGTTCTTCCTGGACATCATAAATCTCTCCTCCCTCTTGTGTAGGGCATCCATACAAGGCCACTGGTTTTTTCAATTCTACTGGAGTGGGAAGCCTGTGATGTGAATGGAGTCAGCAAAAAAATGAATAAATAAAAATAAATAAACCTGGCTTCAAATATAGAGCTTTCCTATTGAGTAATTGAAAATGTGATAAAAATTATTTTAGTGAGTGGCATTTAAAAATAAGTGCAGACCTAAAGTACTGCTTAAATTTGCCCTTGTGTTTTTTAAGAATTAGAGTCTTTTTCTAACTAAGAAATCACAGCAAAACTAACTCTTAGGCTCTTTGAAAAATATGATGGTGTCCAGAGTGGAAACGGGATAGTGGTGGGAGAAAAGGGTAGAAGGACCCAGTTTGATAGCGGGGACAGGACTACAACTTCAGTGGTGGGTTAGGTGCGGCTTGTGCACATACAGAGGTGTGGAGCTGTACTCCCAAAATATTGTCAGTGGTAAGTCAATAAAATTTTATTATTTAAAAAAGTTTTTTTTTTCCTAAAATGTGTTCAATTTCTCCAACTTAAATGGCTCATCAAGTCATAGTAATTGAAAATTGCTTATGGCAAGAATAGAAAAAAATCTTTTGATAATTTTGCTCTTCATCTGCCACTTTTTATCAGCTATGCTGGGGTCTAAGCTTATGTCATGCCTCCAAAGCATAATTTTTAAAATATAATTTGAATAATCTATAAACTTGAATAATCCTTTATTGCAATTAATGGAGAATTGTACCAGTCAAAATAAGATTAGCCAAGTAATGGGCTGTAGGTGATGCTTTATAAAATAAATGTTCTCAGAGCCTGGTTGGGATCCCAGCATCCTTGGGATATCCCTCCTTTAGTATTCTGAAAACAACATCATTCCTTTAGTATTCTGAAGTTCCATCAGTGAGAACAAGAAAATGCTTGGGTGCGACTGCCAAGTCAGAAGCAACAGAATCAGAAGAGGAGGGAACAGGTGCATATTAAATACTTTCATGGGCCAGTCACTAATAGATGCTTTACATACAAATACATGTCACTTAATCTTTATAACAACTCTGTAACATGTAGATTATTGAATGTATTTTATAAATGTGCACGATGAGGTTTAGAAAAGTCAAATTAAGTTGCCTAGAGTTATCATATAACTAGTCAGAAGTAATTTGAACCCAGGGTTGTGTCACTCCAGAGGCCATGCTCTTTCACCTGCTTTTGTAAGAGGAAAAGAGGAAGGAATGAAGGGGAAAATGATGTTAAAAAGAAAAGCAGAAGTGTCAGTGAGAGGTTAATGGAATCATACATACAATAGCTTCAGATTCCTTTCATGTCTTAGAGTTACATCTGGGTATCTCTCCCTCCCCAAATTAACTTTATTTGCTAAGTTCTAATAATGTGTCATGATTCTGAGGTCTAAAGATCCCAGACTGGTTACAGGATGGACTCCTGTCAGCCTTTATGATACATTCATTTTTTTCTCTTGTAGATTGTAAGGCAAGGGAATATTTTTCTCTGAAAAAGAAATCCATATAAACGGACTGATTTCAGCCTTTCAACTTGCTCAATGATTTTCATACATTTTCCATTTAAATCTGGTCTTTTATAAAGAGTAATGCCTTTCTGCCTCTCCCAGGCACCTAACATTTTATTTTTCCTTTCGTTTCTGAAGCAGTGACACTGTACCGTATTTTGAGTGCTAAATGTTGATTGAAGCTGTCCCTGAAAGGATGTGCACTTGACATGTCAAGGAGCGAGTGATTGACAGCAGATATAAGTACTTTTAGTGTCAAGGCTTTGTCAAGTCATTGTGAAGCCTGGTATACTGAATGTCAATAATACCCTCTAGATTTTCTTTGGACAGTTTTCTTGTTCCCTTGTACACTGATGCTTATGTGCTTGTAAAGGAAAATGGCATCTATTTTGACACAGTTTGAAATAATAATGTTCCTTTTGAATCTCTGACACAATTTATAATTTTAGCAAGTATCATGAAATTATTTGTTTCACTTTTTTTTCCCCTGATAATCTGAATATGGTAGGTTGCCTTACTCTTGTGTGTTTTCTATTACTCATTTTCTGTGGGACCAATTTTTAGTTTAGAATTTAAACCAAATCTCTTTAATGGGAAGATTTTTATAATATGCAGCTATGCTTGTAAGTTAAGAAGTTGAGTCCTACCTCCAGATTCAGAACTTGGTTATTATATGCTCAAGAAGATGACCTTGCCCTGATATTCAAAAGCATTTTATTTCCATTATTGATGTTATTTTTTGTGAGCATTTAAAGAAATAATTTTCTCTTATTTCTCCTTCTGTATAAAAGTTACTAATATTCTGTTTCTTACTGTCTTACTGTTCAGAACAAGTGTTTTTTATTATAATGCTACTTATTCTAAACCCAGGAAGAAATAATTTTCTATAAAAAAAAAAAACCTTGTGGAATTGATCATACTGTGTTAGCAGATCTTTCAGGGATATATTTTATTCTATGAGAAAAATTAAAATATGTTAACTACTGTCAGCATTAATTGATATAGATTTTATCTTCTAGATCTTTAGTATTTGGAAATTGGTTTTCTCTTTGCATTTCTGTTTTTAATATTAAGCTTAGTCATTTTTGATCAGCTGAAATCCTTGCACATTAAGCCCCTCACTTTTCATCATTTTCAGGATATGTAAATCATTCACTTCTCATAATGGTTCTTATAATCATGATTCACTTAAATTTTCTATAGTAGTGGGTACTTCTAAGTTCTTGTGGTAAATTTTGAACAATAGTAGTTCTTTTATTGTATCTGATACCTAATTATCAATAATCAGCCTTAAAATTGGTAAGTTCATATTCATGTGCATACAGGGTTAATGGGTATTGATAAAAACATACATTTCCTTTTACAATAGTTTTGATATAAGCATTTTTAAAGTTACTAATGGCAGTATTTGATTCAATTTCCCACATAGAAGGTAACACTTATTAACAATATACTTAGGATCTTGGAAACATCATTTTTCTGTATGTTATTTTGCCAGTTATTCTTATTCAAGCTTTTAGATTAAAAAATGTTAATCTAATTGAGACATTGGTATTTTCTCACTTTATTTTTTGAGTGGCCCTTTTAATGTCTATATGGCTCTACACATACACTAACAGTGTATCATCTTGATATACTTAGTTGTTTCTTACAAATCATTTGATTATTCTTTCTTATCCCAATATCATTTAAAACATTTTTGGGAGATACTTTTTATTCTGAAGTTACTTTAAATTTATATAAAAGTTATGAAAATAATACAAAGAATTCTTATAGATGCTCCTCCCAGATTCACCAGTTGTTAACATTAATCTAGTTGGTTAAATATAAATCTACACACACACATATTTTTTCCTGAAGCGTTTGAAAATAAATTACAGATATCACCACACTTTACTCTTAAATACTTCCTAAGAACAAGGATATTCTCTTTTATCATCATTATATACTGATCAAAATCAGAAGATTGATATTATTATCTAATCAATAGTCCTTATTTGAATTTTCCACTTGTCCAATAATATTCTTTATAGACCAACATCTATATAGTTCCAACGTCCAGTCTAGGACTAGACGATTTTAACTGATTTTTAACTGTCATTGTCTCTTCAGACTCTCAATTAGAATAATCTCAGTGTTTCTTTTTCTTTCATGGCCTTCATCATTTTTAAGAGTTCCCTGATCCAATACTTTGATTGTATATTTTTATCTTGGTCTGAATATTCTCTTTTGTTCATATCTTTGAAAAAAATCCTCAAGACCAGGACCTTGAGTCTCCCTGACTACCAGAAGGAAAAGCAGTGTGTACTCTACCCACTGCCTTATTTCATTAGTTAACACTTTCAAAATGTCTCTCCGTGATTATAGATGTCATAATCTATCCATTTTTTTCCCACATACAGAAGTATAGAAAATAAAAGGTGACTTTTTCCCTTTTTTTTCTGTCCTCTCCTCCCTCCCACAACACCACTAAGAACTTACTGTATACTTCCAGGCCATTTTACATGTACATAGACTTATTTCTTTCATCCATCATACCTTATCTTCAGAACACTGTCTGCTCTTTAAAGGAGGGAGCATGTAGCTTCTACAGTCGTCGTCCCCTCAGAGCCTGGCCCCAAAATCATAGCTTTTCAATAAATGCTATCAACTGACAGAAGTTTAAAGGAAGAATTTTGCTCAATACGAGTATATGTTTAAGTATGGATAGTTCCCTATAAAACCATCATTTTTTTCTTTCTCAAATTTAGGTTGTTAAAGGCCTTACCTATTTGTGGAGTTTAAAGATTTTACATAGAGGTATGTACTAGACTTTCAAGTTCTGACTTAATTTGGGGTGGGGCAGAGTGCTCTCCAAATACCTTGACTTTTAAGGTGAATAAGTGATATGATATTTAAATAATAGTGATATATTTGGTAATAAAAAGATGACTGCTTTATAAATGTTAGTTTTCTTACTTTATCCTTCAACTGCTCTGATTTAGGTGATATACTTGGTACTTATTTTTGTGAATCATGCTTACCAAACATGTATAGCGGTAACTCATAGTATTTGCAAATGATAGGATCTTATTTTTCTTCCTTAAATCTAGTTAATGCAAGCCCTTCATTTTCTATGCAATTCCATCTGTTGTTTTTGTTAACGTATCAGATATCATTATATTCTATTCCTTAAGAAATCATTTCACATATCTTGAAAGTAGAACTTTAAATAAGGAACTGGAGAAAGCATCAGAAATTAGTTTCCTGGTCTATTAACAGAACACATGAGAGGATAATCATAAAACTGTTGAATGTTGTAAAAGGAACCTCCCTTGGCTTTTTTTAGTATTCCAAAATGTCTGAATTCATTTGGAGCAAATTAAGTGAGAAACAGCTATAACATAAGCAACTTAGGCGTCTAATGTTACTAACTGTACTGCTTAATTTTCCACATCTGCTCATCCTGGCTTGATGCACATTTGGGGAATGCAAGCAGTATGCACACTGGATGTGATTAAAGGCAAAAAAAAATTTTAAGGTATAACTATGAAAGTGAAAACAACTAAGTCTTTGGTTGTAATATCACATCTGTCATTGTTGTTTTTTTGTTGTTGTGGTAATTTTAATGTCCTTTTGATCCAAATTCTTTCTTAAATCCACCCTCTTTTGAAAGGGATATGTAGAGTTTGACAGGTAAAATATCAATTCAGTTCTTGACGGTATTATACCGATTAAATAAACCAAAATTATTTTCAAAGTCCATCTACTGTATTTCTAGAGGATAGTCATTGTAAAAATGTGGATGTAGGAGAGTAAGCTGAATTGTTAGTATTACTTTTTCTCAAATAAATAACCATGTAAACACATTTGAGTGAGAAAAAATGTAGCATTTTTCACCACCAAAATTGAGAGAATGGTACTTAACATAATATAACTTATATGCTTCTGTGCTTTGTGCTTCCACTTCCCCAAACTCTACAGCCCACTAGTTGGTTATACCCATTTTAAAGGAATTTGTGCAGTGGTCAGTTCTTGTCTTTGTATTGATTTTTATGAACACTTGCTATCCATGTGACAAAGGAACTTAAGAAAGGCATCAATTGTCAATTGCAAAGCCTTCATTCAAAGAACCTTGCCATATGGAGACGGAGAACAGTGGACTGTGGTGGTGGACTATGGGTGTTTTGGTGGTGGGTGCTGTGTGATGGTAACAACACCTGAGGGGAGAAATCCAATGTTGTAAATCTAGGTTCCCTCAAAAAAATAAGTAAAATGAATGAAAGACAAAAACAGAAAACAAAACAAAACAAGGAACCTTGTCATGGATCTTATTTTGTAAAGGTGATCCTTAGCATCCTGCTGTCCTGTGGGCACACAGCCTAATTTTCACTCGCCGTAACTTTCTGTGTGGTAACCTGGCAGCACCAAGAACAAAAGTGGATAGGGAAATATGATCTAGTTTCTCAGCAGTCATCTTTTTTTTTCTTTTTTAAAGTTAGAAATAATGCCGATAAGTAGATATACCTTTAGTGTTTCCTGTTTCTAAATTATTTGGTTATAGTTTTACTCTGTTTTGGAGAATTTTGAATTTTTCATTTGAAATGGGATGTGCTTCAAATGGAGTTATGTCTGAATCTAAGAGTAGTCTAAGGTGTTTGTCAGATTCCCTATACAACCACCCCATAATCACTGTGGGCAAGTGCAGGAGATCAGAGCCTCTGAGAGACAGGTAGTTTCTTTTTCCCAGTTCTGGATGCAGCTAAGGCTAAGACAGGGTCCTTTGACCAGTGATATATAAGACATCAGTGGTTTGACTGAGGACACAGAGGTTTCAAAAAGGAATCCTGAATCTTTGTTTCTCTTTTTGGTCTGGGTTGGCCAGTCCAGTTCCCAGAGAGTAATTTGATACAAAATGCCTCTATTTATGGGAAAAAGATGTCTGCAAGGAGCTGAGTCAGGGCAGTGGTGGTAGACCAGAAAAAACCCTCTGAAGTGATTTCGGTTTAAATAAGTACCAGTGAGTGAATGGAAAAACTAATGAATTTCAGTGCAGATGAATAGTTATTCCCTAGTAATTATGGATTATCAACTATAAAAATAATATGCTGTGGTAATACGCCCCATTAAATATCTTTATATGTTTAGCTTTTGAGTTTCATGGAAACTTGTACCTTCTAGATTTAAAAGCATGTGCTTTTATTGAAGTACAGAAAAAAGCATATGTCCCTGGAGACTTTTGTAAAGCATTGTAATGAGAAATTGACTCTAGATTGAGTAGTTGTTAACTTAATATTTCAGAGGTTTTGTCCATATTTAATAACTTGGATTCCATAAAAATAAGATTAAAGATACCTTTTTATTTACCAAAAAGCTATTTAATTTTCTCCTTGATTAAAAAATTGTAGCTTTTTAGATCAGTTCAATCAGGCAATTAAAGATCAGAGCTTTTAAGTTCAGCTAAGGCAATTAAATAGGTAATATACTTGTTTATACACTTTTGCTATAAGCTCATTGCTGTACCTTCTTAAAAGCACATATACTCATTTTTGCATCTTTAAATGAATGATGATAGGAATTTTAGCTGAATATGTGTCACATTGTCAAATCAAAGTGAAGATAGTGAAAAGAAGACAGTGAAAGAGAAATATTTATGAGTGATCTAAGCCTCTTTCTTCTTTGTCTTGGTCTAAATATCATTTTCCTCTGATCATCACTTTCTTTCCTTACCAAATGTTACCCCTAAAAACCAAAGTCTAATACTTATGAACACAGATTTTTAAAAGGTTAGAAAATAGAGATATTCAGTGACCTAATGAGAAAAGGGAACAAACTATTTCTCACTTTTAAATGGCTTCCTTAGAATACAGAAGTCCTAAATTTTCTCTGTAAATGTGTGTGTGTGTGTGTGTGCAGTACATTGTGGAATTTATAAAACATAACCACTTCTAAACAAGCTGTTAAAAATCAGGAGACTTTCCTACAGTGCATATCCAGTGGGGACTGTAGAGTACAATGAAATCTGAGCAATAAGCAGTGGCAAACCACCCACACTAACCTGCACCCAGTTAGTGTATTTCATAGTGTCGTATGTTAGCTGCAAAGTTTTTTCAAAATTGAACTATAACATTTGCCATTCCTAATGGATCATCAAATATTATATTCACATTCACATTTATTCACTCACATTTAACATGTTTATTTTGTTCTTTTTAAAAATTTGGTTGTAAGGTATGTGCAAGAGTACTTTATAAATTGATATGTCAAATGCTAATAATGCGGGTATGTTTTTATTGTATAATAACTATGAATTTATCACATTATCCAGTTAATGGGTATACCCATCCCCAAATCAGGCAAGAGAGAAAGTTTATTATACTTCATATTACCTAGCCAAAATTATTAAAATATTTTCTCTGAGAGATAAACATATATCTGTAAGGAGATAATTATTTAAAATGTTTGAAAGTCCTAACAAGATTTACTATTGTGGAGATTTGTCTTTATTAAAAAGCACATGTGTGAACTCTGTAAATATAGCATGTATTGACTGGGTAAAAACAAAGAAAATGAACAGTGAGAAAGTCTGTTAGGCCAGATCCGACATTACAGCAAACACTGCAGCTTAACTTCAAAACATACATCGCCACTAATGAGGTGAGAGCCCTGCATATTAATAAACCTACAGCTCCAGTCATAGCCATCATTACCCACATCAAACATAAATACAAGATTAACACCTATGCCATTTCTTTGGAAGATGTGAGAATGCCCTGGCAGTAACTGCTCTCTCTTTCCCTGAGGATAAAAAATAGAAATGGAAGGGTAATGAGAATAGAGCTTAGATTAAGAAAATAAAATTGGCAATCAGGCTGGGGCAATCTTACACAAATGGAGAAGTTTATTGGGGGTAAAAAAAACATGAATAGTTGGTGTCCAAGGACAATTTTTGTATATATGAGCCTGGTTAGTTTCATTTATTTTCTGTAGTAGGAGGGTTTTTAAACATTTTAATCTTATATATAATTAATGTATATTTATTATAATATTTTTATGTTATTCAAGAGGCTAATGCTGCCCAAATTGATTTATGTTTAGTGAAACTAAGTCTTACAATTTCGACATGCATGTTGGAATTTTATTTTCTACCCCTGGCTTTACTTTTTCATAAGTGTGGCCTTACACAGCTCTTCCAGTTGGGGCTATTTCAGATTACAGTGCCAGTGTGTCAGTTCATTCATACAGCAACTATTTATTGTATACCTGTGTTTCAGGCAGTGTGTTAGAATCCATCAGTATGTAAAAGAAAAGATTCCTATAATGGGGTGGAACAGGACTGGAAAACAGTCCATAAGTAATAAACATGATAAATAAGTAAACAGAGAGTGGGTTAGAAGGTAGTGATAGGGAGAAGAGAAAAAATAGATCAGGCTCATGAAGAAGATGAATTGGAACAAAGAAAAGTTGTTTGTCAAATAGGGAAACAGAGCAGAAAACACCAGGTGGGATGTGCTTGGGTTGTTCCTGGGCCAGCGAGGAGGCCTGTGTCTGTGCTCTTGGGGGTAGAACTAACTGTAAGGAAGCTGTTGCAGTAATCGGATAAGTAACAGGGGCTCAGATCAGGAGATAGCTACAAAGATGGGAAAAAGTGATTAGGTCATGGGTAATGGTTTTCAATATAGAGTCAATAGAATTTCTTGATGGATTGCCTGTGGGTTTTAAGAGAAAGGAAAGTTAAGTTGCTTAAACTTTCCTCAGTAATTCAATTTACGAAAAAATGTTTCTGCTACTTTTTGTTTCACTTAAGAGAGAGAGCTTCA